CCCCCCCCCCCCCCCCAGTCATCTCTTCCCCCAACCACCCTTCCATGCTGCCCCAGCCCTTGTTGACCCCTCTGTTCTGTTCTGTTCCCACAGCCTCCCCAAACCTGCTGGAGAGATGCACTTGACCACCGCCCTGTGGATCAGTCATGGGAAGGTTTACCGACGGATGGGGCTCGGCCCTAGGTCCCGTCTCGACATGTTACGGAACCTAGTTACTGCATTAGTCCGACACGAGAGGATTGAAACCACTCTGGCACGTGCTGATGAGATGAAACCTTATGCGGAGAAGGTAACTTTCCTAACCCTAACCTTCAATGTACCATCCGCTCCCGAATGCCCCCCCTTTATCAGCACAGTCCTACAGACAGCTGCAGTTTTCCTGCTCTTCCATAAACAACCTACATTAATATAACACCCTCAATGTGGGAGAACTTACCTGGGTGAGCAATTACCAAACCAGAATTCAGCTCAAACGTCCAAAGGTGATCAAAGCAGGCTTATGCAGTGCTTTAAAAGGGGGAGTAAGAGAAATTGAGAGGTTTAGGGAGGGAATTCCAGAGCTGAAGGTCCCAGGCGGCTGAAGGCATGGCCTCTAATGGCAAAGTGATGGGAATCAGGGGATGCTTGAGAGACTGGGATTGGAGAAGCTCAGAGATCACGGAGGATGGTGAGGGCTGGAGGAGGTTACAGAGACAGGGAGGGGTGTAGGGTCTGGAGGAGGTTACAGAAATAGGAAGAGGTGTAGCGACTGGAGGAGGTTACAGAGACAGGGAGCGGGTGTAGGGGCTGGAAGAGGTTACAGAGACAGGGAGGGGGTGTAGGGGCTGGAGAAGGTTACGGAGATGGGGGGGGGGGGGGAAGGGGCTGGAGGAGGTTACAGAGATAGGGTAGGTCGTAAGGGCCGAAGGAAGTTACAAAGATAGGGAGAGGCGGGTTGGAGGAATTAAAATGAGCTGGTGAATTTCACATCATTGATGATAATGTAATCTCCAGGTTCAGTTCTGTTCTTGGGGACAGGAGGGTTGGTGGCCAGAGGGCCACGCATTGAAGAAAATCAGTAAAAGAACAAAAGCGGGCAGGAGAGGAGGAGAATTTCTTTTTTGACACAGCAAGTTGTTGTGATGAGGGAGACACTGCCTGAAAGAGCAATGGGAACGGATTCAACAGGAACAAGGCGAGGAATTGATAAAAATCAAAATTAGAAATGATTTGCTGAATTGTGGGCGAAACAACAGCTGGAGAGATGGTTCCAAGGGCCCGTTCAGACCTGATGGTCCGAATGGCCACCTCCTGTGTTGAATCACTCCCTTCACCTCCCATTGCTGTGAGAAGGAGACTCCCGGCTCCTCAAGTGTCTCCACCCTCACTGAAGCTAAGAGGACACTGTCCTTGCGAAAGGGACAAACTGAGCCAGGTATTTTGCCCGGGAGAGACTGACAGTCAATAGGACCAGTGCTGGGACAGAACGAGGCTGAATTTAATGGTCTCAGCACTGTTCCTTTGTGTGCGGAGAATCTGAGAGTTGCTTCTTGACCACCTGCCTTGTTTTCCAGCTCGTGGACTATGCCAAGCGTGGCGACACAGACGAGAAGGCCATGAAAATAGCTGACTTCTGGCTGACGGTCAGTGACTCTCTCATCAGGGCTGTTTCATTTTGGGGGTGTTGTGTGGCCTGTGGGAGCTTGCTATGCACAGATTGCTTGTTGTGCCTGCAACAAGTTCAGAGTATTTCTGAACGAGGGTCTAGGCCCGAAGTGTCAGCCGTCCTGCTCCTCTGATGCTGCTTGGCCTGCTGTGTTCATCCAGCTCTACACCTTGTTATCTCTTTAAGTTAGGTGTATTAGGTTACAGGGATTGGGTGCAGAGTCGGTGTGGACTTGTTGGGCCGAATGGCCTGTTTCCACATTGTAGGGATTCTATGAGTGGATTGCCGTGTGAGCAGTGTTGTCACCGTATGAGTTATAGAGTCATGAAGCACGGAAACACACCCTTCGGTCCAACTCATCCGTGCTGCCCAGGTTTCCCAAACTAAACTAGTCCCACTTGTCTGCCTGTGGCCCAATTCTCTCTAAATCTTTCCTTGTCATGTACGTGTCCAAATGTCTTTTGAATGTTGTGATTGTACCTGCATCTACCACTTCCTCTGGCAGTTCATTCCATATATGCACCACCCTGTGCATAAAAAAGTTGCCCCTCAGGTCCGTTTTAAATCTTTCTCCTCTCACCTTAAAAATATGCCCCCTAGTTTTGAACTTGACCACCGTGGGGAAACGATTTTGGCTGTTCACCTTATCTATGCCCCTCATGATTTTCTAAACCTCTATAAGGTGACCTCTCAGCCTCCTGCGCTCGATTGAAAAAAAGCCCCAGCTTTTCTAGCCTGTCCTGAGAATGCAAACCCTCCAATCCTGGTAAAACTTTTCTGAACCCTCTCCAATTTAATAATATCTTTCTTACAGAAGGGCGACCAGAACTGACAATCCCTTCAAAAACGACGCAGAAAAATGTAGACAGTTTTATCCTCGGCTATCCCTAGATATTTATATTTTACACGGTTATATTGTATCCTTTGTCCATAATATTATGAAGTGATGCAAGTTGCTTTACAGAACACTGACATGTGAACAGCTAAAATACACCAACACAGTTTTATGCCTATACTTTCACACTTTGTGAAGATACCTACACGAATGTGACACGTTGACTCAATAAGTTAACGCAACAATTTCCAAAACCAAACCAGTGACGCTTGCCGAGGCAGGTATATACTTTGGATTGAGGCACCAGATCCAATGGTGAACCACTCTCTGCAGCTTCAGCATGATCACCACGAGACAGGGACACCTTCGATTGACGACGATGGTGCAGAAAACTTCTGAAATCTGACATTTAAATGCATATATTCGCTCCAAATTTAATGGGTAACATTTATATATAGTAGGGTGTTGTGAAAAAAGCCTAGATTTTGAACAGGAAGACCTACAAACATAGATATGGCCAAAAAAAATAGATCTGCGTGAAATAAAACATAGAAATGGCAACACTGCTTGTGAGGGAAGCACTAGTCAGGCTGGGCCTGTATCCTCTGGAGTTTGGAAGATTGAGGTGACTGAATTGAAACATTTCAGACCCTGAGGGGACTTGACTTGCGGTGGGCGTCAAAAGGGTTTTTCCTCTTGTGGGAGAGTACAGAATTTTGGGAGGTGAGAGTTTGAAAATAGGAGAGCATCCATTTAAAACCGAGATGAAGAAACTTTCTTTTCTTGTGAGTATTTGGAATTCCCTTCCTCAAAAGGTAGCGGATGTAGAATCTTAATATATTTTTAGGGCACAGGTAGAAAGACTCCCGGCACCCAAGGGATGGAAGATGATCTGGGAGAGACGCAGGGATGTGGAGGTGAGGTTAAAATCAGATCAGCCACGATCTTAATGAATGGAGGTAACGGGCTCAAATAGCCTACTGTTAGAGGTAGTAAGAACTGCCAATACTGGAGTTAGAGAGAACACAGTGCGGAGCTGGAGGAACACAGCAGGCCAGGCAGCATCAGAGGAGCAGGAAAGTTGACGTTTCAGGTCGGGACACTTCTTCAGAAATGGGGTAGGAGGGAGTTCCTTGTTTGCTTACAACAGCCTCCAGGAAATGAGCCTGACTTGAATGCAGGCTAGTCCCGAAGATATGCGCAGTGCAATCTTAACTACTGGCCCATTCACTCTTCAATCTGATTTACTCAGATTGCTGTCTACACCCCCCCACCCCTTGGCTGAGCCTGGTGGTTTAGTAAGTCTTGTGATGGTATAGTTTGGCAGAGACTTTCCTGTGGGTGGGGGGGATGTTTCAACCAGGATTCCTGATCCTCACTTGCAGACCTCACTTATTCCTGACCCCGACCCCAACTAATGCTGGCCAGTAACATCCGCATCCATGAATGAATAAAAAAGAAACTTTCACGAATCCTCTGCCTCTTGCAATCTTGCAGCCAGTGGAAGGATTTCTAGATAAAGGGCAGACAGGGCTGTATGATGTTCCGGATGTAAAGACAGGAGTCAGGAACCGAATGAGTTTAAACTACATGGGCAGCACACAGCTACTTTGAGAATCAGAAAGCGGGGGGCGCCTACAAAGTAATGCGGAGGTTTCAGACAGAATCGTAGAATCCCTACAGCGTGGAGCCAGGCCATTCAGCCCATCGAGTCCACACCATCCCTCTGAAGAGGAACATCCCACCCAGACCCACCCCATCCCTGCACTCTACAGAAATTTAATGGTTAATCCACATAACCTCACCTCCCGCCTGGGCTGTGGGATGAAACTGGAGCACCCAGAGGAAACCCATGCAGACACGGGGAGAATGTGCAAACTCCACACAGACAGTCGCCCGACGATGGAATTGAACCCGGGTCCCTGGCGCTGTGAGGCAGCAGTGCTAACCACTGAGCCACCGTGCCGCCCATATTAGCATTTTGCTTTTCGTCCCCCATTGTAGTGCCTGGAGAACATCAAAAACAGCAATAATTTGGATTTAGATAGTGCCTTTAATGTAACAAAGTGTTCCAAGGTGCTGCATTACAATGCAAAAGATGACATCAAGCACTGAAGGAGATTTTGGATCAGTTGTCAAAGCCTGATTAAAGAGAGGGTTATGAGGAACATCAAAAAGGAGGAAAATGAAGTCGGGAGTAGAACAACAATGGAGAGGCAATTCCAGAACTTGAGGATGAGGTAACTGAAGATGTGACCATTATATTTGCAATGCACGCGAGACCAGAATTAGAGGACAGCCAACAGCTCTGAGAGTTGTGGGACTGGAGACTGTTAGAGAAATCGTTGGGAGGGGTTTGACAAGGGGGGAGGGGTGGGTTGGGGTGCAAAGCCGTACAGTGGTTGTGTTTCTTGTATCATAAGTGTGTGAGAATAAGGCAGCAAAAGATTTTTAAGAGTGTGTCTAAGTATTTGCTGCTTCCTCATTGTAGGAGTGAAACTAGCCCACCCCCACTACCCTCCAACCAGGGGCAAAGACTCCGGAGGAAGGCAGGATTCAGGCACATGTCAGTCTTTATTCTTATTCAAGCAGTCACGGGTTCATGCAGGGAGAGGGCCTAAGATCTCCCCGAATCTGAGAGATCAACACAGCTGTGGTTTTTACAGCGAAATACAATATTTTCATACATTTTGTGTTACAATAATCACATACACCATGATCACTGCGCCCTTCCCCTTATTCTATACATCCAGTGCGGTGAAACACCTAAACAATGATGGACATTTCTGTGGACAACCCTAGATTCCCATGATCTCATGGTGTGTAACAGACACTGCAGTGTCCAGGCCTTGGGATCTTTCTATTCATCCTATTAATTTCACATTCCAAAGTTGCTTGCTGTGCTCCTTCAGATATTTCCCAGACTTGTTTATGTCTAAGCACTGCTTGAATTCTGTTCCCATTGCTATCTCTATCAAATTCTGTTACTCCGCTTATATTTTCCTAATTATATGTAAAAAAAAATCCAGAAGACAGCTGGTTCTAACTAACTGCTATAAGATTTGTAATATTAATTTCTGTTATAAAATTAGTCATATGTAAGGTTTTATAATTATCTCTACTGTTAGCACTCTTTAGCTAATGAGTTGCAAGCAATTTGTTTCTCACAGAATATGCCAGACAGACTAACTAACTTTCACAGATAGTAGGAACTGCAGATGCTGGAGAATCTGAGACAACAAGGTGCGGAGCTGGATGAACACAGCAGGCCAAGCAGGAAAGCTGACGTTTCGGGTCTGGTCTGAAGAAGGGTCCAGACCCAAAACGTCGGCTTTCCTGCTCCTCTGATGCTGCTTGGCCTGCTGTGTTCATCCAGCTCCACACTTTGTTGACTAACTTTCACATCTGTGTTTGAATTTTTTCCCGTAATGCTGAAAAATTATCAATGTTAGAGATAATAAGAGCTGCTGATGCTGGAGTTGGAGATCAATGTATCTTGTTACAAACTTGTATCTATAATTACGTTGGAATCTATCTCTGTGATTATTTGAAGAATCTTTAACTAGAACCTATTTCTTAACTTTGTGAATAATTTTAAAGAGAAAACTAATTACTGCAAAATAACTTAAGCTGCTGTTTTGACAGTCTTGCTGTCTTATGGACTAAGATTTGTTGTCCTTATTCTGACTGATTCTTTTCCCCTAATGGGTCAACATCCTTTCATTAATGATGCTGGAATCAATCATTTGTCGTAGCTTAATGAACTTGTTTCATCCTTCAGATTTTTGTGAGCCACAGTCGCACTAGTTCATCTGTGTTTGTTATGGTAGCAGTTTACCTCCTCCTTTAATATTTGTTACTAATCTTGAGACTCTCTATCTTTTGGACATTTCTTATCAAGACGGTCTCTATGAAAACTCCATGCAGCTGTTGTTTGTGCAGTGCTCCCTTTTGCCTCAGACTAACCCCTTCTCAAAGGTACCATTGTTTCACTTAAACGCTGGAGCAGGCTTTTAATTCTGTGTCTAAACGCTGGAGCAAGCTTTCAATTCTGTTTTGATCAGTTTGTCAGCCATTTTGTGTCTCTCAAATATGGGCGGCTGCAACATTCATTGAGATTTCATCATTGCTGTTGTCCAACAGCCGCTACAGAATCAAAATCATAGAGGTACAGGATCGAAGTTGAGCGAGAACACAAGAAAGATGAAAGTACTGGCAGTGAGAAGGAAAACGTCCAAAGTTTAGATACTGGTTCAGTGGATTGGCCGTGCTAACTTGTCCCATAGTGTCCAGGGATGTGCAGGCCAAGTGCGTTAGCCATGGGGAAATGTGGGATTACCACGATAGGGTTGTGGGGTGGGGGGTGGGGTGTGTTGGTTTGGTTGGGATGCTCTTTGGAGAGTCGATGCAGACTCGATGGGGCATGTGGCCTCTTTCCAGTCTAAGGATTCTATGATCCATCAGAAAAAACTGAGTTGCAGTGGACTGTATGACACTAACAAGTTGATACATTTGAGACAAATGGGAATAGGAGATGGCTGAAGTGATGTACAAGTTGGAAGAGGGCTAGAGACTGCTAAAAGGAATTTTGTGAAGATGCGGGATGTGTACACCACAAGGGAACTCTGGATTGCAACCAGGAAAATGCTCCGCTGCATTTTGTCCACTTTCCTGTCGGCCTCAGATACCTAGACAAGGCGATCTGTGGAAGGAAATCGAAGCTTTGAAATGCGAAATCGAAAATTAAAGGTAGGTGCTGAGAAGCACAGTAAAAATCCCAGATGCAGAGCAGTAGAGAAGTGAAGAGGTGTTTGGAATAATGAGAGAGGAAAAGAAATTAAAGTGACATCTGGCAAGTAAAAGGACAGGATTTTGATCACTGGATCAGAACTGAGAGCTACTTTGAGACAGCTGCAGCGGGCTAGTTAGATGAGGAATGTCAGAGAGCAGTTACAAAGGAACTACAAGTGGATGTGAGAGGATGCTATAAGATAGGTAAGGTAAGGAAAGCAGGCCTCCAGGTAGGAATAGCTACAAGAAGCAGCTGCGGTTGACATGCAGACAAACCAGCAGCCAATGTGCACACAGTGAACTCCCACAAACAACAATAATAACACGTTCAGAGATAGTAGGAACTGCAGATGCTGGAGAATCTGAGATAACAAGGTGTGGAGCTGGATGAACACAGCAGGCCAAGCAGCATCATAGGAGCAGAAAGGCTTACGTTTCGGGCC